TGCTTTTCTCTCTCTCTTTCCGTTGCCATGTTACTCAGACCTTAAATCTTATGGCATCCTCACGTTTATTTGTAATGTGCCCCAACATGAATTGTGATATTTTAGCGAGCTCTCCCCCTAGGTATTCAAGATATTCTGTAATGGCGTTCTCTGACATTCAGGAGTTCCTCTTTACTTCACTGTTGACTTAGACTCACTTTTGCGCTCTTTCTGTACACCGGCTATGTTACTAATAGAGGGTACTGGGCTCTATAGCGTCATTTCATGGTCTCACCCTTTCACAGTTCAAAACATTTGTCTTGGAGGAGCATCTGTGTCCTGGCATAGGTGGTCGTGTCCACATTCCTTCGTGCTTGGTTCTGGACGTGTGAAGCTAAGACGTTGCTGATTCTTCTAGCTTTGCATTCCACATTTCATTTTCCATGTCATATGACCATTGTCTTGTAATCAAGTTCGTCGCGTTAAATGTCTTCACAAACTCCAAATTTCAGTCTGTAAAATGTTGCTGCTTCATCTTGGGGAAATATTTCTACAATATTGATTCTTTAAATTCTTACATATTTCCAGTGTTGTTTTCTACTGTAGCCTTGCTCTTCATACAGTATTCCCAATATTTATTATATATATATATATATATATATATATATATATATATATATATATATATATATATATATATATATATATATATATATGTCGTACCTAGTAGCCAGAACTCACTTCTCAGCCTACTATGCAAGGCCCGATTTGCCTAATAAGCCAAGTTTTACTGAATTAATATATTTTCTCTATTTTTTTTCTTATGAAATGATAAAGCTACCCATTTCATTATGTATGAGGTCAATTTTTTTTATTGGAGTTAAAGTTAACGTAGATATAAGACCGAACCTAACCAACCCTACCTAATCTAACCTAACCTATCTTTGTAGGTTAGGTTAGGTTAGGTAGCCAAAAACGTTAGGTTAGGTTAGGTAGGTTAGGTTGTCGAAAAAACATTAATTCATGAAAACTAGGCTTATTAGGCAAATCGGGCCTTGCATAGTAGGCTGAGAAGTGAGTTCTGGCTACTAGGTACAACATATATATATATATATATATATATATATATATATATATATATATATATATATATATATATATATATATATATAACTGAAAACTCATACCCCAGAAGTGACTCGAACCCATACTCCCAACTCCCAGGAGCAACGATACTGGTAACTACAGGACGCCTTAATCCGCTTGACCATCACGACCGGACGTGATGATCAAGCGGATTAAGGCGTCTTGTAGTTAGCATTTGCATTGCTCCTGGGAGTATGGGTTCGAGTCACTTCTGGGGTGTGAGTTTTCAGTCGCATATAGTCCTGGGGACCATTCAGGCATGTTCGCATGCATATATATATATATATATATATATATATATATATATATATATATATATATATATATATATATATATATATATATATATATATATATATTACATACACACCACTTTAGAACACTTTCCCATCAGGAGACTCGAACCCTAGCCAGCACACAAGCCTTCCAGCAACTGGCATAACAGGTACGCCTTAACTCGCTCCACCACAAGCGTAGACCCTTAAAAGAGATGGTAATTTTCGGAGTATTTATATACTACAAAGATCACCACCTCCCAAGAGCACTAGAGCAAGTGAGGGGTCATTTATACGTTTATTTCATCAAGTCCCTGTTAATATGGGAGAACACTGTGTCTATGAACTTAAGGCCAAGGCTTAAGGCGTGATGGTCAAGTGGATTAAGGCGTCTTGTACATACCAGTTGCGTTGCTTCTGGGAGTATGGGTTCGAGTCACTTCTGGGGTGTGAGTTTTCAGTTATATATATATATATATATATATATATATATATATATATATATATATATATATATATATATATATATATATTATATATATATATATATATATATATATATATATATATATATATATATATATATATATATATTATATATATATTAGTAAGAGAGAGAATGTCTGTAAAAAGTTGAAGGCCAAACGCTTGGGGATAGCTACACTTAAAATTTGCAGCAGGAATGGTCTGGGGGTACGGGACTGACATAGGGTCGCCATAATTCAAGAGGGAACAGCGTGTCAGGGTCATATTCTGATCCCCACCACAACTTCTACAACATTCCCTCGGCTATACCAACAGAAATAATTTGTAAAATAAATTGCAAAACTATTTCTTTTATCTTACTGGGATATACACCATAATTCAATGAACTCAAGAAAATTATCATATATATTTTCCTATCTATACTTTGGACGAAATAGAACAAAACAGACGATCTTTCCACAGAAACAAGGGCTTTCCCAAGCCCCACCATACGCTCATAGCAATTGGATAACTATTCTATTTTTTAAAGATTTCACACTGCTAAGCTCCCCCCCCCCCTCAATGGATCACCCATACGACAACTGAACACAACTATATTACTTAAGAGAGAAAGAGAAAGATACAAAGTCTGAGAGATAGAAGGAGCGAGACAGAGATAGGGTAGAGATACAGAGACAGATGAAAATAGAGATGGAGAGAGAGATAGAGATACAGAAAGCGCGAGAAAAAGACGGATAAATTAAAATAAAGAGATAGAAAGATACAGATACAGATAGAAATGTAGAGAACAAATGGAGAGATGAAGAGAGGAATATAAAGACAGAAATAAAGATATAGATACATGCAGAGATAGAGACTAAATATACAGAGAGAGAGAGAGAGAGAGAGAGAGAGAGAGAGAGAGAGAGAGAGAGAGAGAGAGAGAGAGAGAGAGAGAGAGAGAGAGAGAGAGAGAGAGAGAGAGAGACCCGGTTAACGCCGGATACCCACAAGTTAATCACTTAATCTTCTCATCCATTGGATTACTCAAACTTTTGACGCTTTAATCTTACCTCGGCGTTAATTAATAATTGTTACTCGTGGATAGCTTTACTCCTATCAAGTCGTGTGTTATTGTGTGCAGTACAATACTAAATGATTTGGAGTAGCCCATACGAGAGGAAAATACACTTGGCTGGACCCTAATAACTCTCAAAGAAATGGAACTTGCACTGGAAATTACCTGGAAATTTCTGTCCTACATATCTGAATTTAGTTCGGACACTGTGGCTCACATTCTTTACATTCTAATCGCGTAATTCTGACAACGAAAGCTGGTTATCAGATGTTCGATGGCAAGATTCCCATTTATTTTTACTCCCTGGCGAAGGTAATGCAAGTTCCGTTGTGGATAACCAGAAAGTCAATTATACATCACAATACTAGACGATGGATCCTGCAAGTTAATTATATTTCCCACAATATATCACCGTGTTTCCTGGAAGTGAATTACACGACAAAATACTAAGCAACGTCCATCTGTTGTCTAGATAACCATATCAAGATAACCAACTCTCCTAAAAAGCAAACTATACGTACTAACAAATTACGCGGTTTTAGGAACTGTATATATCACCTTGATAGAGCTGCATGATCTTGCAAATATATTAACGAAAGACGCCCAACGAGGATAACATTCTGCCATGATCTAATGACATCCTCACTACCTATGATTTTGCAAAATCTTCTTAAGATATCCTCAGACCCTTCATCGACTATGCACATGCAAAGACTCACGAAAGTAATTCCTCTTCAAAGCTCAAGACAAGGATTACAATTATAGTTTATTTCGTTCGTAATTGAATTTAATCTTTGCTCCACCATGAGGAAATTCGTAAATTATTTAATCAAGCAAATAATGCACCGGTTAAGAAGGTACGGCTTCTATTGTCCTCCTCGACCATAATCAAAATCTAAACATATTCCCGATGAATTGGGTTTAAATATATCAGAAGCTGTGTGTGTGTGTGTGTGTGTGTGTGTGTGTGTGTGTGTGTGTGTGTGTGTGTGTGTGTGTGTGTGTGTGTGTTTGAATATTTGGTATTCTAAAACAAGCTCAACAATATTATATAAAGAATAAATCCGACCCTTATCACGGCCCTTGAGGATTTGTTCATTCGATGTATCACGGTATAGTGATGTCTGTGTGAATATTATATAAACCTCTGTCATTGTCGTATGGAAATACACGTTCCTATACAAGACCGTAGATCTTGTAGGTGAATTATTCGTCCTTAAACCATGGTTCTTGGAAGTGAATTATACATCACCATAATAGACAATGACTCCTAATATGTTTATTTGTGATGTGTGTCTATGTATGTATTAACACGTTGTACTGAATGGGGTGAGAATAGCTTGAGCTACCTCATCCCTTTGTGTGTATTTTACCTCGATAAACTTATTTCAATTTCAATTTCAATGACTCCTGGAAGTGAGTTACACGTCAGCAAACTAGGCCATAGCAACGTTGCGCTTTCTACTGGTAATTAACGTGTCTGCTCCCAGCGGTAAAGTACACCCATCGCGTTGAACAATCTGACATGATCAGGTATGAGTTTGTTGTACGAGTATTATTTCCTCTCTGTTGTAGAGCTCATCATGGAGCCGAGGATCACAGCCCCTAATAGGTGGGGTTTAGACAAGCTCCACACCACGAGGTATATCAATATATGTAGGGTAAGAGTATCATAAAGTAGTGGGGGAAAACTCAAAAGTCATTGGGGGTGAATGACGTGTCAATTGTGACGTAGCTATATAAACAGGGTGTCTAATCAGACTGGCCTTGTCAGTAGAACACTTAATGGGCAAGTCAGAGGCTTAGGACCCGCCCAGGAATATCCCTGAAAAATAAAATTGACCGATGGCCTCGGTTTCTAGAGGGGCGCTTACCATTCCGTCTGAATCAAGCGATTGGGCACACTGTTCCTCCACTCTGTTCTCATATCCCAGCTCCTTTTCCTTATACCGATAACACTATCTCCTATTAGTTTATTTTATCTGTCTGGAATCGTGTTCCGTACGTCTAGAACCATGGCTTATGCGTCTAGAACCATGGCCCATACGTTTGGAACCATGGCCCATGCGTTTGGAACCATGGGCCATTCGCCTGGAACCATGATCCATACGCCTAGAACCATGTCCCATACGCCTAGAACCATGTCCCATACGCCTGAAAACACTGTCCCATACGCCTGGAACCATGACCCATACGCCTGGAACCATGTCCCATACGCCTGGAACCATGTCCCATACGCCTGGAACCATGTCCCATACGCCTGGAACCATGTTCCATACGCCTGGAACCATGTTCCATACGCCTGGAACCATGTCCCATACGCCTGGAACCATGTTCCATACGCCTGGAACCATGACCCATACGCCTGGAACCATGCCCCATACGCCTGGAACCATGCCCCATACGCCTGGAACCATGCCCCATACGCCTGGAACCATGCCCCATACGCCTGGAACCATGCCCCATACGCCTGGAACCATGCCCCATACGCCTGGAACCGTGCCCCATACGCCTGGAACCGTGCCCCATACGCCTGGAACCGTGGCCCATACGCCTGGAACCGTGGCCCATACGCCTGGAACCGTGGCCCATACGCCTGGAACCGTGGCCCATACGCCTGGAACCGTGGCCCATACGCCTGGAACCGTGGCCCATACGCCTGGAACCGTGGCCCATACGCCTGGAACCGTAGCACATACGCCTGGAACCGTAGCACATACGCCTGGAACCGTGTCCCATACGCCTGGAACCGTGGCCCATACGCCTGTAACCACTGTCCCATACGCCTGGAACCACTGTCCCATACGCCTGGAACCACTGTCCCATACGCCTGGAACCACTGTCCCATACGCTTGGAACCATGACCCATACGCCTGGAACCACTGTCCCATACGCCTGGAACCATGGCCCATGCGCCTGGAACCATGTCCCATACGCCTGGAACCATGTCCCATACGCCTGGAACCGTGTCCCATACGCCTGAAACCGTGGCCCATACGCCTGGAACCATGACCCATACGCCTGAACCATGGCCCATACGCCTGGAACCATGGCCCATACGCCTGGAACCATGGCCCATACGCCTGGAACCATGTCCCATACGCCTGGAACCATGTCCCATACGCCTGGAACCATGTCCCATACGCCTGGAACCATGTCCCATACGCCTGGAACCATGGCCCAAACGCCTGGAACCATGGCCCAAACGCCTGGAACCATGGCCCAAACGCCTGGAACCATGGCCCAAACGCCTGGAACCATGGCCCAAACGCCAGGAACCATGGCCCATACGCCTGGAACCATGGCCCATACGCCTGGAACTATGGCCCATACGCCTGGAAACATCAGTGTGTAGAACACCATGACTACCGACTCCGATCGTCATGTGTGGCTACTGAATAAATATCTCTTATGTGTTTGTGTATCAATGTATTATAGTGTATTATCAAAAACTTTAATTAATATAAAGAAAATATAATACAATTACACAGATGTAAAGCCTGTCTCATTTCATTCGTCTCAAAGTTCTCAGACTCACTATAACAGCAGGCAAACAGTTCACTGGAACATACCACTCAGTTTTTGTTCTTCTAGGTTGCCTACAGCAACTTTTGGATGTTGAAAGTTGCAAGCAATGATCTTCTCTCCCTCCCCCTCTCTCCCTCCCACATACAAGCACGTGCTGCTTTAGTCTTTGTAATTCCGGAGTGTATCCCAGGGCTGCACGCGAGCAATTCAGAGATGCATCAGAAGTATTACCATTGACTCCTAACGTCTCCCAGTGGCCTCTGGGAGTCATGCATGCACTCAGCTTTATGGCATCTTTTACGGCTTCAATAAATAATTCTAAGAGGTCTACTCCTTCAGCGTGAGCCAGACAATGTCTTGATGTGTTCTCTAGTAAGTGTTGAAATATTCTGGCGGCCAAGTCAAGATTGCTTGAAGTGGACAAATATATATATATATATACCTTGTTACATAATTATATATATATATGTGTGTATATATATATATAAATAATTGTGTCAGACCACGGAGGAGAATTGAAACACGAATTTCCTTGAGTACTTTCGTATATTAATGTATCTTCAGACGGAGTCTGAAGATATATTAATTTACAAAAGTACTTAAGGAAATTCATGTTTTAATTTTCCTCTGTGGTCTGACACTGTCACATTTATAATCACGTATTTATTTTTCGTGATTTACACACACACACACACACACAATTATATATATTACTAGCAGTACCCGGCCACGCGTTGCTGAGCCACAGCAACCTTCCCCGTCCCCCAGTCCTCCCCAGAATTCCCCCCTTACCCGTCTCCTCGGCCTCCCCACCATCCCCTCTTCCTTCCTACCATGACCCATCCCCTGTACCTTTGTCCTCTCCACCATTGTCCATTCCCCCATCCCCTCGTCCCCACCATCCCAAACTCCCCCATCCCCTCGTCCTTCCCGACCATTACCCCCTCCCTTGTCCCCTCGTCCTCCCCACCATCTCTCACTTCCGTCCCCTCGTCATCCCCACCATTCCCCACTCCCTCGTCCGATGCCTTCCCAAATGGTTTGATGTTCCCATCAGAAAATTGGAAACATCAAGTGATCTGATGTTCCCATCACTGAAATATAAGACAGTTAAAAAATGAAGTGAAAATATGAAAAGATACAAAAATAAACTCACGAAATAAACGGTATGGTAAACAACACAGCTCAATTTCAACGCAATTCACACAAAATAGTTAAATCAAAATGATAATAAATCAAAATGCAAACAAAACAAATGCAATCAGAAATATTGAAATGGAATTGTAACATTATTAAGTATACCATGTGTGATGCTCTTACTTGCAACAGATGGCGCTGCTTGTCAAGAAAAGCATAGTTTTACCTGTCACAGGTGTGGCATCTATACTTATACTTACGAAATGAACGGTATGGTAAACAACACAGCTCGATTCCAACACAATGTCACACAAAATAATTCAATAATAAAATAAATCGAAATCTAAGAAAATAAAATTTATCAATGCAATCGGAAACATTGAACTGGAATTCGTGACATTTAGTATAGCATGCATATTGCTTTTATGAGCAACAGATGGCGCTGTTTTTCAAAAATACACGTTATTTCCTGTCACAGGGGTGGCATCAATATAGTAAGCATATAAAAAGACGCGCCTATTCGAATGCAACGTTGTGTCAAAATTTCAAAACAATCGGTAAAGGGGTTTCGAAGATTTCCCTCACATGAAAAAACAGTTTTTCAGAAAAAGCATGTTTGTTCTTTTCCGTCACAGACGTGACATCTAAATAGTATGTATATAAAAACCTGCTCGGATGCAAATGGAACGTTGTATGAAAATTTTAAAGCAATCGGTGAAGAATTCTCGGAGATTAGCGGTTATGCACAAACGAACATTTCCATTTTTGGACAAAGTTGTTGAAAATGACCGAAAGGGTAAGATTAATGATTCTAACACGAGTCTTCTCAATATTTCTTACGTTTTTCTTCACTGTCAAGTGAAGTTGAAAAATTAACTCTTCAAAGTTCATTTGTACACTTTTCTATTGTCTGACGCCTATAGGAGCGTCAAAAGGAGCCTGGGGATGCGTTTCGCAAGGTACACCTTACGTTTTAAATATATATATATATATATATATATATATATATATATATATATATATAGATAGTTAGATAGATATCTGGCGAAATATCTGTATATCTGGCGAAAGTGAACCTCATACTCTCTGACCAAACTAAATATATATTCTACCCACTTCAAGACTCCGCTCCAATATAGAAGCATCAAGAAATATGGGCCAATAAAAATAGGCCTTCTGCAGTTACCTACGTTTAATACCCATTGTTTCGTGTCCTGTCTTGTGTTAAAAGTTTATTTTCACCTCATACAAACCTATTGTAACATGTCACCTCTCCCAAATGTAGGTATAAAAACTCGAAGATGCTTAAGCTCTATTCAGTTAAAGTTGTGTGTGTGTGTGTGTAAACTAAAGTCTTTGAAAATGTAATAAGTTTTACGAAACGCGCTCAAGTGTCGCGTCAGACTAGAAATAAAAATGAATTTTGGAGAATTGATTTTTGAATTACCATCAACAGTTAAAAGAAACGTAAGAAAGATCGAGAAAATTCGTGTTTTAATTTAACTTACTTTTAATTTAATTAATCTTACTTTTTCGGTCATATTTAATAATATATGTCTACAGGAAAGACTGCTACCAAAATATACTAATATTAAAGCGCACGACCCAGCAGCAAGGAATCAAGCCTTCACGATAAAATATCGCCAGGATCTGATTCGTGATCAGATATACAAGGCAGAGAATGAAATCAAAGACAACAAAACGCAACTACTTCATGCTACAAACGAGTGGAGAAATAGCAACATCGACGAAAGTATCCGTACCCGCATTGAACAACACCTCGACATCCTCACAGACCGACATCACCTCAACACTGAAACAAGGATTATCAAGAAACTAACAACATTATATGGAGGACCTATGGCAATTCCACGACCAAGAGATGGCTTCCTGAACCTTGCAGGAATTAACGTCACTGAGGACCAAGTCACTCTCCTAAATCTGGGCATAAACTGTCATGTTATGTCCAGACCGAGTGAGATGGCCCGGAAAGTAGAGTTGGAAATTCTGTTGGACTACATATTCGACCTCGAGACACAAAAGAAGGTCACTACCAAAGATACCTTACAAGCAGAACTTATTGCAGAAGGAGGAAAGAATCGAGGCAATTACAGAAGCACCATACTGTCCCCCGAGCTCAAAGCGGCAGCTAAAAGCATTCGTGAGAACAAGGAGATAGTTGTCAGGAGAGGTGACAAGTCGCCAATATATGTCATTCTTAAAAAAGACGAATATCTGGCGAAAATGAACCTCATACTCTCTGACCAAACTAAGTTCCAAAGGGTAACGAAGGACACTACAGCCGAATTGAAAGCAAAGGTCAACAAACTGATCGAAACTGTGAACGCCAAGAAATCCGGACTCCACCTGCCAAAGATCATTGGGGAATATAAACCTGGATATGCGTATGGAAATGTCAAGACACACAAGCCTGGAAACCCACTTCGGCCAATCATTAGCCAGATACCCACACCCACGTACAGACTGGCGAAGCGACTCAACGGCCTGCTGACTCCTTATGTTCCTTGCGCCTTCAGCCTGAAGTCTCCAAAGGAATTTGTTGACTTACTGCGGGGCACACAGGCCACAGGGATAAGAGCCTCGTTGGACGTAGAATCGCTGTTTACCAACGTACCTGTGGACGAGACAATCAGGATGATAGCCGACAGAGTGTATCGTGATCCAGCCTGTACTCCTCTTGACATACCAGAAAATATTCTGAGAAAACTACTCCAAGCTTGTACTAAAGAGGCACCCTTCTTGAGCCCGGATGGGCACATGTATAAGCAAGTAGATGGGGTCGCCATGGGTTCTCACCTAGGTGTTCTGTTTGCAAACTTCTACATGGGTACCATCGAGCAAAAAGTCTTAGTCGACATGAACTTGAAACCGGCCATATACTGCAGGTATGTTGACGACATTTTTACACAGGTACCTGATATCAGACATCTGCAGGAGCTGAAGGAGGCATTTGAGCAGAGTTCCGTGCTGCGTTTCACTTACGAGATGGAAAAGGATGGGAAGCTGCCCTTTCTAGATGTAACAGTCATGGAAAAGAGCGGAGGTTTCCACACTGCAGTCTACACTAAGGAAACGAACATAGGAATGTGCCTAAATGCCAACAGCGACTGCCCAGACAGGTACAAGAGGAGTGTTGTTAACGCATATGTCGACCGTGCTCTCAGCCACAGCTCAGAAT